AGTAAATATGTTATCTTTTGTGCAAAATATATGACATATATATTCAAAATGTTCCTGGTCGTACAAGGAATCCAGCAATGTCAATTATATTATCCTAACTTTAGTCTAAGGTATTATTTGTTACTAAAAGTTAAAATTTGTTTTTTCACCCAACATTTCTCTGGTAGGGAGGGAAGGTGGGGGGTGGGGGGAGGGTTGGGACCGACCGACCGACCATCTGGCGCGGTTGGAAGAGGGGGGAGGCAAGTTGGGGTACTTTGATTGACAGATAGTGTCGTGAAGAATATTTTTTATTAACTGAAGATATTTGTTTTAGCTCATAATATTCATACAAATTACTGGACCAGAATATAATTTACATTGCTGGAATTCTTACAATATGATGATCATTTTGAATATAAACATCATGGATTTTGCATTAGACATACAAATTTTAGATCTAATGTAATAATTTGGTTTACACAAAGCAAGTATTTTATCTTTTGTGCAAAATATATGAAGTTTACATTCAAAATATTCCCTGACCTGCAACGAATCCAGAAATGTCAATTATATTATCCTAACTTTAGTCTGAGGTATTATTTATTACTTAACGTTAAAATCTAGTGTTTCACCCAATCATTTCTCAGAGAGGTAGGGGTCAGTGAGCTGGGAAGAGGGGGGGGGATTTGAGTCTATTATTTGAATGGACATTAACCTGGCGACTGTATTTCTCTTAAATATTAATTGTGTGAGCATACCATCATAAAATTTAGATGTTATTTTTACTACAACATAGGTATTGTGTCGGAAAAAGTGGAGTTTGGGGGTCGGGCCAGTCTCTATTGGAATTAATCCCATATGTTCTGTTGTTCCATTTACGCGGATTTCACTTTCCGCGGTACCCTGTGGGTTCAATTGACCACGTAAATCGGGGTACTACTGTATAAATATTTTTCTTACCCGTACTGATATTTTTTGTCTTCAACGAGTGTTTTCGTATGAAAATTTAGTTTTTTCGTTATTGCCTATCTACTGTAACACTATTTATAGGTAATGTACTTGCAATTCTCATGATACAATCCATACTGTATGTTTCTATCCAAAATAGTACACACGGTATGATTAAAACTGTAGAGGTATCTGACACATGGGTGTAGTGTGTGGGGGAGGCTGTTGGAGCATGGAACCTGAGCTGCTGGCTACCGAGAGGCAGCAAAATCCTGAGAGTTTTAATAAGCACAGATTATTGCAGTATCATATCTTTACTATTAATGAATAACAAATAAACAATATTGTATCCTGAATGAGTTATACAGTGGTCCCTCGGTTAACGAACACAATTCATTCCAGAGGGTCGTTCGTTAACCGAAAAATTTGTTAACCGAATCCATTGTTTCAATGGGATATTGGGTAATTGATTCCAGCTCACTGAAAAGTACATACAAAGTAAAAAAAAAAATTCAGTAAAGTACACTTACTTTGAGGTGTGTATGTAGAAGGTTCCTGATTGATGATGCTGATGGGAATTAGAAGTTGGGGTGGAGGAGGAGAAGGGAGAAGAGAATGAAGTGGGGGTGGAGGAGAAGCATTTTAATGCTTCTTGGAAGGTGAGTCACCTTCCATAATAATGTCAGGAATCTCTGGACTGACAGATTCTCCAACAGTAAAATCCTCTCTCCTTTTTGAAGAGGAACACTGAGGGGAAGCATTTTTCTCACGCTGCCCTTTAGAGAAGAAACTGTCAATTTTTTTATTGTGGGGCATTTCTCCTCCTGATCATTAGCTGGTTCTTGAAGGAGACCACTTTGTCCTCCACAGTACACAAAATTGGTTCTGTTGTTTCCACAGCAGGGTGCCTTGAAGCCAGTTTCCTGAACATCTCCGAGTGGTGAACAACATCTTTTAGGTCTGAAAAAGACATATGGTCATCACTTTCCTTTTCCTCCTCACCACTGTCTGTTTCTAGCATCTCATCCATTTGTTTCAAATCTTCAGGAGTAAGTTCCTGCTCATGAGACATCACAAGCTCTTCAACATCACCCTCCTCCACTTTGAGTCCCATTGACAGACCAATGGACACAATCTCCTTGTCCAACTCCATTTCTTCCTCAAATCCCTCAAAATCATGGACTGCTGTTGGCCACAGTGCTTCCCATGCAGAATTCAGGGATCGAATGGAGACTTCTTGCCATGCAGACACAATCAATTTTACAGCCTCCAGGATGTTGTATTGCGTCTTCCAGAACTGTGCCAGTGATATATCAGGATCGGTGGTAGTTGCCTGATGACACCTTCTGAACATTTCTTCATGTACAGCTTCTTGAAGTTGCTGATTACATTTTGGACCATTGGCTGCATAATTGATGTTGTGTTTGGAGGCAAAAACAACACTTTGACAAAGTCAAATCGAGCCTCCAAAGTGCTGGCAAGTTCAGGGGCATTATCCATAAGGAGAAGAGCCTTTAAAGGAAGTTTATTGGTGGTTAGGTAACTCTTCACAGAAGGGCAAAACACCTCAACAGCCCTTTCATTAAAGAGCTGTCTCGTTACCCATGCCTTACGGTTGGACTTCCAATAAATTCCAAGTTGTCCTCTTACCACCTTTTGTTGCTTGAATGCCTTGGGGTACTCAGAGTGGTATACAAGCATAGGCTTCAGTCAAAAATCCCCTGAAACATTGGCACCAAGCAATAGAGTGAGACAGTCCTTCATGGGTTTATGCCCTGGTAAAGAAGCTTCATCTCTGATGATGAATGTCCTTTTGGGCATTTTCTTCCAGAACAGCCCGGTTTCATCCACACTGAATACTTGCTGTGGAAGATAATTCTCTTCATCCATCAGTTCCTTGAACTCCACTACAAATTATGCTGCTCCTTCTTTATCTGCACTGGCAGGTTCACGATGCCTAACGACACTATAAATGGCACTTCTTTTCTTAAACTTATCCAACTAGCCCTTGCTGGCCCTAAAATCTTCAAACTCAGTTTCAGAAGAACTAGGTTGATCTTCCTTCAAATGTTCATGTATTTCCCTCTTTCACAAATGAATTCAGTAGAAATGGAATCTCATTTCATTTGTTGTTCTTTAATCCAAATAAGAAGTAACCTTTCTGTTTCTGCAATTAATGATCTACCTTTAAACACTTTGGTAGATTTATCTCTCACTTTCACTTCGCAAAAATTTGTCTTTTTGCGCAATAATTCCAGACACAGTTGATGCCTACATGCCATATTCATTACTCAGTACATTGGTTCTAATGCCTTCTTCATGTTTCCTAATAATTTCCTGTTTCACTTGAATTGAAATTGCCTTTCTAGATTTCTTTGGACCCATGCTGGATGCAATACAGTAATTTCACCACTAAAATTTTAAGTTCACTCTGTGTTCAAGAGAGCCACAAACAAGATGTTTCCTCCACTGTAAACAGAGTTAAACAGATGCTTTGGTGGGTGAGTGAAGTGGGTGATGGGCGCACCAAAAACTAGTTCCCTGTGCTGCATATATTATCAATTATGTTAAATAAATGTTAAAATGACTAATAATTTTAATATAAAACTTGCAAAAATATTAAAGAGCACAACCTTCTTGATATTTACTCCAATGGAAACGAATGTAAGCCTAGAACCGATTACTGCATTGGCAGACTAGCCTACCAGCTGTTGCGCAAGCCAAAACATGTTGTCATAAAGATTTCGTTAATCGAAGTTTTGTTCGTTAACCGAATTGAGAATCCTTATGGAAGGTAATTCGTTAACCGAGGGACCACTGTAGTAGAATGAATAAAGAGGCAGGAGTCTAAAGTGAGAAGCAAACCTTGTTTGAGGGGGGGGGGGGGATGTCCATGTAGTCAGTTTCTTCCCTCAGGATCACTTCCCTTTCTACCATATTCCACTACCTTCTGAATCTAATCATGAAAGACATATGAATTTGATACCATAATGATCCTGAATAAATTCCCTACCAAACTTTTCCAATAAAAGATCCTTTAACAAAATAATTTGGCATGATATAATGATGGTAACTCAATTCTTTTATGAAAAACTTACAAGTGTTGTTACCAGAGTCTATAAAATCAGTTTCAATTAAGTTACATACATCATTTTTACTAAAATAATCCTGAATAATTTATATAAAACTTTGGTTGGTAAATATTCGTTTCAGTTACACCAAGGAAATTACTGACCAAAATAGGTTTTCCTTGTGTATTTTGTGCTGTTTCAAATGAATCTGACCTTCATTTCTGTTGTAAATGAGCCTTAATGAAGATATAACCCCCAGTTACCAACAATTATGGTTGTTCAAAGTGGGCAGCTCTCTAACATAGAGAGAAATTATGGGGTAAAAACACAGAAAACTGAAAAAAAAACCCTCTTAACCAGAGAAACCAGAATGATGTGACCTAACTTCCTGAGACCCCCCAGTGTGTAAAAACTAACCTTAATTAACAGATGTTGTAGGATACAGCGATACTATTTGTAGGAGAAAGTGGTGTAGTATGGTCTTATGATCATTATATGCAGCTAGGAACATGTACCGAGTGAAATACTGTACTGTTGATTATGAATATCTTTAATGCGGGTTTATTTACATTGCAATTAGGGATGTAGTCTTATTATATCGGCATCGTTAACACGAATTATCGTAGATTGGGACATTGTAAATAGAGGTTTACATATACAGTACATTGAAACAGAGGGAAAATGGTGCTGCTTTAATCGACAGATACTCAAAATTCAATGCCGTGGTTGGTGAAATGGTATATACTGTACTGTACATGGTAAAAACCTTGGATACCCAAAATCCATGGATGGAAAATCTGCAGTTGGCGAGGGACAGTCAGGCACACTCGACACAGTGAACTTTTACTAGGTGCTTTATATGTAATTTTTGCATGTGTGATGGACATGTGTGCTCATTCTATGAAGTTGTCAGTATATATTGCCAGGTATATCTGGGGAATCCACATGTATCTCATTATAAAATTACCTTAACTAAAATATACCGTATTAACATTACAGTTTGCAGAAGCTTCTCATCAGTTATCCAAGATGATGGATTGGTTCTATGTGGCAGCAGCAGCTGTTGTTGTACTGCAGCTGTTGATCGGTTGCTTCACATTTTACTGCAGCATCTTATTGATGAGCTTCTTAGCATTTATTAGGTAAGAAAAACTTTCTCCACTTTATTCCACTACAGTACTGTTTAATGTTCCATGTCATAGTGGTTAGGATGTGCACACACTGTATACTAACTGACTTTTTCATCAGTTTATATTCTGCTTATGTAGAAATAATGATATACTGTACAGTAGGGGGCAGTGAAATTTTGCTCAAAGCTGCACTCTTCAGGCATTGTTCCTTATACATATCTAAGACTCCATGCCAAATTTGAAGCTGATATGTCGAGGTTTAGTCTGCCGCATTTTCTACTGAAATTTTTAAATTTACCTACAGTACTAGCCAAACAGCCGCTGTGGCGGTGCAATGTTCTGTTCAGTGTTTATCAACTTTTTTTTCATATCTCTTAGTTCATTTAAGTTGTCTTGTTGCAGATGAGTATGGTGCTATGTCTATATTGATTATCAGCCTTTTCTCATTTCATTTCTCAATGTTGTGTTACTGTACTGTAATGTAGGGGAGACCTGGGTAAGTTGGCGCACTTGAAATTATTCAAATAGTTACCGCTTGTGACCGATACTTGATTAGTGATTATGCTGGAGCTGCCATTGCTACTGCCACCTTAACTGACTATGGCATTATCACAAAGGATGACAAGAGTCAGGTTATTGGACCACATAAGCTGCGGGATGCGAGACAAAAATACCGATTTAAGAGGCAAGAAATTGAGATGGCTAGTTTAGATAATTTGACGTCACTCTATTTTGATGGTAAGAAGACCGCCACTCGTGTGATGATAAAGAATGAGAAGACCGAGAAATGGAGTTCGAGGATGATGGTGAAAGATCATTATGTCATCATGGTTGAGCCTGGCAATGAATATCTCACACATGTGACTCCCAAGACTGGACACGGAAAGCAGATTGCCAAAACTATTCACGAGTTTCTGGTGGAGAAAAATCTAACCCAGCAGCCCATTGTGTGTGTTGGTTGTGATGGAACCAATGTAAATGTAGGATCAGAAAATGGAGTCATTCATCATCTTGAAATGTTACTTGGTCACCCGCTCCATTATTTCATATGTCAGCTTCACGGAAATGAGCTGCCTTTCCGCGCAGTTTTTTATCACTATGATGGTAAACCAAGTGGTCCTGAGCATTGGCGTGGTCCCATTGGAAAGCAGATCAAGGAGTCTTTGTCTGAGCTTCCAGTTGTCGCCTTTCCAGCCAGTCAGTTTCCCTGATTTCCCTGTGTTTAATGATGAAGTGGAGAAAGATCTGTCCTGGGATCAGAAATACCTGTATAGGATTTGTAAAGGAGTTATCACAGGTGTTGTTGAAGATGACTTGGCTGCTATTGAGCCAGGTCCTCCCTGTGTGTCAAGGTGGAACACCTTATGGAGTAGAATCCTCAGGCTGTATGTAGCAACATCAAGACCCAGCCATGAGTTGAAAAGAATTGTCATTACAATAATAAAGTTCAGTGCTCCAATGTGGTTTTACATCAAGATACACCCTTACGTAACACACGGCTCAAGGAACGTATTCCAGTCCCTGCTATATATGAAACACCTGAATAGTGAGGAGGAGACGATAGTGAAGAAGGCTGTCCAGAGAAATGCATACTTCGCCCACACAGATCAACTTCTTCTTGGTATGTGTGCAGATGAGGACATGACTGTTAGAGAAAAAGCTGTCTCAATGATAAAAAAAATTAGAGAGGAGAATCAGCAAAAGGAAGAATGCACTGGCAGATCTGAAGAGGAGGAGGAAGATTCTGATGCTGCTGTTGACGAGAATTTGTTAAACTATACTGATGAGGAGGGTAAAGATGGAGATGGGAATGAGGATGTGCCTCCTGTAGTCAACATGAGAAAGGTGGTGACTCCGAAACTAAAGTGGCAAGCAAAAAACTATCATTCCATGATTAACTGGAGGAATGAACTCAAGATTGAGCCTCCTTACATTGCTTCTCTGTCAAATCTACAGGTTAATGACATTCTTGAGACACCATTAGTGGTGCCCAAGTGGCCAAACAGCACTCAGGCGGTCGAGAGAGGCATAAAAGTGATGACTGAAGCTTGCACTGAAGTGACGGGATACGAATCGAGAGATGGATATATTAGGCAAAGATTATTGTCTAGGAAAATGATGCCAAGGTTCCGCACAAAAAAGAATTTCAATGTGAACTTGTAATGATTTTCTATACGGTGTACCTGTAAAATAACATGTGAATTAAATCAATGTCACCCATGTAAAATTTATCATTATCCTGGAAAACATTAAATGACACCTAATTTTTGGTATACACTAAAAGTTGACAAAAAGTCGTTCGCGATGCGGCAGGGTAAGTATGCATGAAATGGCATGAAATTTTGCCCAGGTGTTTGTTACAGCCATACAAACGATGCCTGAAAAGTGCAGCCTGCAACTCAAATAAAAGTGTTTTTTCCCTGCCCCCTACTGTACAGTATATTTGAAACTCTTTTCCAGTACAAAAAATGTGATAAAACTCAACAATGATTAATATTTACTGTACTGTATTATGTTTGGTTGTTAGACAGTTAGGTGTACAGTAAACCCTTGTCATTCTCGAGGGTTAGGTTCTAAGAAATGGCGAGTATTGGCAAAACAGCGAATTGCAACTTGTATACTACCTTAGTGCACTAATATATACCTGTACCGTGTATGAGAAACTTAAGTCTCTAATACTACTTCATATGTGGAAGTTTGGAGCTTGATGAAGTGGTGCACTGTCCATAGGGAGACATCTGGTTACTGAAGCATAGGGGGATCTTCAGGATCACTGTTGGAAGAGGGTAATGCTGTGGTGGTTGGTGGAGAGGCGGGTGGTGGGGTGGCACGCGACCGGGAGGTTGGTGGTGGGGTGGCACGCGACTGGGAGGTGGGTGGTGAGGTGGCGGGTGACTGGGAGTAGGAGGGTGGAGCGGCAGCAGTAGTAGCTGGTTCTTTCTTGAAAAACATCAAGATTGGTAGATTTTTTTCTTTGCTTTTAGGTCTTTAAGCATTTCCTGGTGGAGAAACAATACCTGGTGGATTACTCTGACAATCTTAAGGCTCTGTTCCATGGAAGGGTTATGGTCAACAGTGAAATCAGTTATCATTTACATTTTTTATTTTACTTCTTTACGGGGAATAGCCCACCCGGTCTTCGACCCACAACAAGGCCTAGGGGGTGGAAAAATAAGAGTAAAAGTAAATTAAAAATAGAAAAGAAAAAGATTATATTAGTCTACACCACGAAGATGCCGGAAAACCAGCTTTTTGAAGTGAGATAGATTGTATGAATCTGGAAACACAGAAGAAGGCAGAGCATTCCACAGTTTGGATGTGTGAGGAAAGAAGGATGTACTATAACTGGTTATTCTAATGTGACCTGTACAATATGGACACGAAGTAGTACCTTAAGCTGTGTATTCTTATATTACTCTATTAATTATGTATAGTAAAGTATTACAGAACATGTATTAATCCTATGTAATATTTCCATTTATTATGCACCATGTTATGTATGTGAATTATCATATTTACATTTTATGTATTCAGCTTGTGAATGCTGGCATCTGTACATGCCAGCGCGGAGTGATACAGAAAGTTGAGATCGCTAGTCCTTATGGTGTGGAAGCCCACGTCTATTTGTTTCCTCTGTATATCTTCCGTACGAGAATAAGAACCTACTTTCAAGATAACAAGTGTTTGTGTATACCCTCAGTAGTGTAGAACATTTTGGGGGAAGCAAAGACAAACATAGATGGCGCAGTGAGATTTCTCAGTGAGATTCCGAGTGAACTTAGCCTTCCCGCCGGACTGTGTTAATGGCGTCTCGTCTTCAGCTTCGCCAAGGATTTACAGCCAGACTACAAGCCTCAGGACTTACAGTGTTGTGAAGTGCTATGCTGTGTACAGTGCTGTGCTGTGAAGTGAAGTGTTCTGTGAAGTGCTGTGTTGTGTATTTTAATCTGAATTGTCTGTGCAAACTGCAGTCAGATGACTGAGGGAGCTGCCCAGCAGTACAACGCCTCCCGCCTACGGTCATTGGGTAACTGAGCAGCGCGCATTAAGACAACTTCGGTTCAGTTGCACTTGCGCTGAGCTGCCTCTACGTCTGGCAGCACGCCAAGCCTCCCGGCAACGAGCCATACACACATACACACGCACTCACAGGCCCACTTTATATTAAATTCTTGCGTATTACTTTAGACTTCTGTAATTCTGTGCATAGATTACGAGGGGTTGACCCGGTCTCTTGCACAGATAGAGTACAGAAGCCGTCGGCATGTCTCACAGGGATCAAAATGATACCCTGGACGATGGGGTTATGAGTTTAAGTTTGGGAGACCTCTCCCCACCCACACTCAGGCCCCACGCTCCCCACAGTGACAACGCCCAATCACCCACAGAATCTCCTCGTTCGTCGCGAGCAAGCTCTCCTGCGGTGCCTGCGTCCACAGATCTCCTTCAACTGATTAAGTGGATGGAAACTTCTCAACGCCAGGACTATGTTGCAAGGAGAGAAGAGGAAGAAATTTGGTACAGAGAGTCTGAAAGACGACGCCACGAAGATGAACAAAGACGCAGAGAACTAGAAGATATAAGTAGAAGTGAGGATGACCTGAGAAGAAGAGAGGATCATGCCAGATATGAAGTCTTGATTTCCCTGTTAGCTTCCCCACAACGATCTACTCTACAAGATTCTTCTGCTACTACTAATGCTGATACGACTAGAGGTACTGGTACCTCATTTCCCAGAGTCGGTTCAACAATTCCTCAAAAGGCTGCAGCACAAACGCCTCCCTCTCTGAGGTCTGACGCTTCTTATCAGATATTTCGGGAATGGCATCGACGTTGGCAAGACTGCAACAATGGTTGACCTGTCAAGTTTACCACAGCCTAAACAGATGATACAGCTTCGTATGTGCTTGTCCTTAGAGACACAAGGTACTCTCGAGCACACACTTCAAGTGCCTCCTACGACAACTCTGACTGTAGAGGCCGTGCTTGACAAGTTACAGGAACATGTTAAG